AAAACTTGAAGAGGAAGAATCATTAGCCCTGAGATCAGACAGTCCTTTATTCTGACTTTGTTATTATGCAAATGAAGTTAATAGATTTTTAACCTTTATAACTATTATATGCAAATCACCAGCTCTTTACAAACGAGATTGTGTCATCTTCACTCCCTCACTTCAGAAAGAAATAAACAGTACAGTAAGAGATGAGATATAGCAATGTAATTTATTTGCATATACTTTAAAATTCTGTTTGTACATGCAGCTGAGGTTAACCACTCAGATATTCATGTCATTATAGTTTAAGTAGTTGCTTTACTTTTTTGTTTTTCTTTTTTTCTCTCTCCTTTTTTTGTTTTTCTTTTCTGATGTGAAAACCATGAGCAAATTAGAAATGCAAAGAAGCACACAGAAAGCGAGCTTTTAATACTTGTTTATCAAGCCAGGCCAAAAACAAAGGGTAAGTTTACATTTGAAAGGCTTTGCTGGTAAAGAGATTGTGGTATAGCAGTATGGCAAAAAGTTAGTGCAGATGCAACTAACAAGATCAGATAAATGCTTTGGCCACTGCAGTTTATTCTCAGCATTCCTTGTTTCTTCTGCCCCAGGTTAAATGAACCAGACTAGGTGAAACGCACGTGCTTGAGGCAATGTTAATAGTATGGCTGTTCTGGTCACACATCACAGCTCCTCATATTCTTCCTGGCAAGAGTTCATATTGTAGATAGAGATCCATTGCCAACCAATTATATATGGTTCACGACAGAGCAAACAACCCCCTCCAAAGTAAGCTGTCAAAGCAACATCGAAATGAAGGTAAGAATCTTAGAAGTGAAATAAAATACTGCTGCTCTCAGTGTACATAAATCCTGACCTTCACTACACAATTCTTGCGGCTGCTAATAAGTTATGCTTTGAACTGCTCTTGCTCCAAACGCAGCGCATCAGTGTGGTCCAGCTACGGCCTGCGCTATCTAAACATCGCTGGCCTGTGAAGAGGACCTTCCCAGCACGGGAACGGAATGCCGTGCTGGCACGCCGGCAGCCCATAAACGTCAAATCCTATTTGCTCTTCAGCCTCCTATCTCAACACAGGAGATCGTAATTCATACCCTCATGCGAGTGTGAAAGACCAGGCTGTTTCTTAAATCTTACTTTGTTGTAAATGAAATAAATGGAGTTATACTTAAGTGGAATTGGAGTAAAGCATAAGCAATCTTTAAACAAGAAGCGATATCGAGCTTAACTACATGCCGCATTTTACTCTGCTACTATGAGGCTGTATATACTTCAGGCTCTGATGATAAATGATTGCAACTTCCACACACAAATGGCAAATTAAAATACACATTTTATCCGTTGTCATATCACAGGAACAACAAGAGTCCCAAAAGCACTGCAGACAAGGTAAATACACACATTTTCCAGCAGTTGTGATCTACCAAGCACACAAAAAAAATTTTGTATATGGAACATGATTTCAGAATCTCAGGAGACTAGAAAGCTCTCAGTATCTCAAAAACAGATTAAATGTTAACTCCATTGGACCTTTTTTGTGTGAAATTCACTCTGTGAAATTCAACCCTGTAAAAAGAGCCAGAATAAGGATTAAGGACCTCATAAACTCCATTTAAATCCTTAAAAAGGCTTCTGTGCAAGACCGAATTCTACTCTCTGAGAAAAGTTGTACTATTAACAATACTATGTCAAAAATACGTTTAGAGTCAGCCTGAAAATTAGTGGGGGGGAAAAAATTGAAATTGGGGTGAAAATTCTTTAAAATGTGCATGGAACTAGAATCCTAAAACAGTTTGTTCTGATGAATTATGATTATAACCATTAATGTCTGTTCATCTGCTGCTACTGGCTAAAAAGCAGTAGTAAAAATTGCAAGAATCTGGTCAAGGTCAGTCAGCAGCTGTGGGGGCTTCTGGGCAAACTTAGCATTTTCAGGAATTTTCTCTAAAATTAGGAAAATTTCCCCTCCATTAAAGAACAACATGATGCAGAAATGGAAGGCAATAGCCAGTCTTCTGTAATGTTCTTTCCATGAAGTTGTCACTTGGATGTGTTAAACAAAAAATAAAAAAAAAGAGAGAGAGAGAGAAGGGGAAAAAAAAGAATAAAAGAATGAAAGAAAGCACACAAGTAAGGCAGAGTCTTACTTGGGGCCTCCTTATGAGTCCTAGCAGCTCTTTCTGGTGATAAAACAGTTATAATCTATCGTCAGTTTATTTTATGTCAATTTAGTGCATGAACTAAGTGGCCCAGGGAGGTGCAGGGAGAGATAGTTCTTACTGTCCCTTTGCTGGTGAGCAGTGAAAAGGACAGTCCCTCCTCAAGACCTGGGATAGTAAACTGGTTTGTGCCCACTGAAAATTGATATCAAAAACATCAGAGCTTGTTGTTACTCATTCCTCAGCTAAACGTCTTGGCGTCAAACTTACCAACTGGCCATTACTGCTCTGAGAAGCTGGTGGTATCCATCGGAGAGAAAGGGACAGCTCGGAGGCCGTGCCCGCTCGAAGGCCGTGCCAGCTCCAGGCTGCTTACTTTCCCTTTCAAGTCTGAAACATTTAGGGACACTCCTCTTAAATAAGAACAACAATAAACAAACAAAATGAAACCCTTTGCTTTCTTTTTTCTTTCACTTTTTCCTCTTTTCTTCTCTTTCTTTTTTCTTTAGCTGGGGTAGATTCCATTAGTTATTACTTGTGCCTGAGCCAGTGTAATGCTGTAATACTCACTATGCCTGGAACCATAAAGGGTCTCCACATGCTGCAGCAGCACATTAAGCAGCTGCTGGAAAATGAGGGTTCAGAGATTTCTGATGTTTTCCTGAGGGAAAGGAGCCCCTAGCAAGGGTCTGCTTTATGTACAGGGTGTCCGTATAATCCTGCATGTCACCGGTCCCTTTCTAGAATAGTTCAAGCTTTACTGACACTGCTCCACACAAGAGCAGCAGCAGCCACCCAAGAGATCGGATGCCAAGCAGCATAGCAAATACTAAACAGTTAAGTAGCCAGCTACAGAAGTGGTTACAGAAGAGCAACTTCTTAGACCAAAATTTCCATTATGTTCAATTATTTGTTATCCAAAATCACAGAGATTGGGGAACTGGGATATACCAGTAAAACAGAAATCTCGATATGCAGACTGGCTGAGGTGACGTGGGTAACTGTGCTGCGGGTTTTGTAGCACCGTGAACTACGGGTTTTGCTTCCTGCCTTTTGTCACTAGGTGGCGACACGAGAAGCCAGAATGGCAGCGAGGGACAGCCGGGGCCGTCACGTTTCGCCATGGCTTGAGGAAACCTTAAATCCTGGAAAAACCCTGTTCCGTTTACTTACTTGGGAATTCACTTATTAGGCTTTAAATTTAAAGCGATTTAAAGAAATGCCCAGGACTACGAGCTCCATAATGCAGTATAACAACTCTGGAGGTATAACTGTTTTATTGCTTGCAACACAACCATTTTGGGGGGAATTCAACCCAACACCTGCATGAGCTCCTCCACACCTCCCTAGGCTCACGGGAGCGATGTGAAAGCCAAACACTGCTATGCTGCTAATATGAGATGGCACAGCCCTTCATTTCCAGGTGCACCTTCTCATTTTGATCTAATTACCACCTACCTCCTCTTTAAGAAGTTTGTGGAGAGTTTAAGGAGCATCAGCAGCACAACTAAGATCGCGGTGACCTCCACCATGGGGCACAAGACTGCAACCTGAAGAAGGCAGAGCAAAAGAAATGCAAATCCAACACATGGCTTCGTTGCTTTTAATTAGAAATGCATCTATAAAATATCACCGTAGCAGAATCCAGCCCCCTCCTGCTCAAGGGACGTTTCAAGAGGACACAGAAGAGTGAGTCATAGCAGCTACTAATAGCGATGCCTACACCGTCCTCCCTGCTCCCCTGTGCTCGCTGTCTTGGAAGTGACCCCGTAAGAAGCGCCTCGCTGGACGTGGCCCGTGCCTTTGCCCTACGCGGGACGGAGACTCAAAAGAGCAGGGGGCGCGCGATAGCTTGTTGGGGAAGCAAGACTCGAACCGGCGACCCCGACATCTCCAGCGCCGCGCACGCGCACAGACAGCGAGACCCCGTGACGATGGCGGCGCGCCAGCACTTCCGTAAACACGCGGGCCACGCTGAGTGACGGGAAACGCAGCCAATGGCGACCCGAGGGGCGCTGGGGGGCGGGGCCTTTCCGGCGGCCCGGGCGCTGGACGGCGGGAGCCGTTAACGGCCACGAAGTAACGGCCGCGGCGAGGGTTGGGGGAGGGGGCTGTGGGGCGACGATGGTGGCAGTAGCCGGGATAGGAGACGGGTGGGGGGTTCTGTGCAAGGGCTCTCTGCCCAGCTCCCGCCTCGGTGTGGGCTTACGGTGTTGGAGGGGACGCCGGGGTCTTTAGCTGCGCTTCAGTCCTGGCTTCCCTGGTTCCTTCGGGCTGGGGGTGAGCCCCTGTTCGTGCTTATACATGTTGTATTGTTTATGCTGCTTATGTTGCTCCTATGCGTGCTTTGGAGAAGGTGTGTGCTCCCCTGAAATTATGTGTGTTCAGCTCTGCTTGGTGTTGGTTTCTGCATGTGCATTTTGGTGTTGTTAATAGGTGTTTGTAATAAAAAAATGCCATTGCACTTCTTTAGAATGGTATGATAAAATAAGTACCTTGGTTTACCTGCTTATTTATATTCTGGTTTATTGTCACAGCTTCCCAATGGAGATAAAGGCAGCCATCAAAAGATATGAAACAAGGAGGAAGACAGGAGGGGCAGAACCACCATCCAAGTCCCGAGTTGACTGGAGACGCACTAAGCGGGAGATCATCTTGCTGGGCAGCGATGAAGAGTCCTCGTTTACCTCTGATGCTGAAGGATCTGCCACATCGGAAGAGGATGTAGATGAAAAAGAGGAGATTGTTGTGATTAGTAACCTTTCAGATCATGAAGAGAAAAGCCATAACGGAGCTGTAACAGAGGATGCTGAGGATGAGCACATCACGCCTGGGAAGCGTAAAAGGTCAAGCGCTTCCGTACTGTATGACAGCGATGAAAGTGAGGACAGTGATATCCTTGTTAGAAAAGTTTTTGCCAAACGCCACTGTATAATGGATGAAGATGAGAGTTCTCAAGAACAGCAACCTGATAAAACCTGCCATGTAGAAAACATTTCTACTAATAGGAAACAGCAAGTGTTAGCAAAATTGAAAGAACTTGCAAGACAAAGAGCTTCTCAGGCATCCTCTAGTAGTGGATCTTCTGAGGTCTGCATTTTATCTTTGAAATTCATTTGGTGAAATTACTGAACATGGGGGAAGAAGACTGATAGATATCAGACTCTGGAATTTATTTTTTTGATAATAAATTAGAAAAATTCTTAAAATATAGTGGAATTAATTATATTAAGCTGATAAGAAAGCTGTCTGCTGACACTATTAACCTAAGTTTAGTTTTCATTATTGGAGATTTAAGATTTTCCTTGTATTTGCTGTTCATTCAGGTGATTTAGGCATTCAGATATAGGTACTTGTCTTCCTACACAGTCAGAAAAGAAGCACAGTTTTAACATTACTTCTTCCTTTTTCCATTAAGAAGAGACATAGGAAAGGTAAGTAAGATACCTGTAGCTTAGAGATCTCAGGGTACTTTAATTCCTACAGATAGATGGAAGGTACATTGAGATGAGTGGTTTAAAGCTGAAAGTAGTACAGAATTGTGTAATTTGGAGTTCTGTTGTTTCTTGTTTATTAAACAAGTGGAAGGTCAAAAACCTTGTCTAGTGTATAAAGTGCAAGTGCTGAAAATAATTTACTTTTGAAATCCTTTCTTAAATTCAATCAGGATTCAAATGCTGAAGTAGAAGAGGAACCACTCTCTCCTTTGCCCGTCACATCAACAGAAGGTAGTGAAGCTGACAATGATAGCATGAAAGATTTTATAGATGATGATGAAGAAGAGGAAGATGATGATGACACTGATGACATAAGGAATGAAAAACAGCCACAACAGAAAGAACTAAATCAAATATCAAATCGCCAGTTGCTGGAATACTACGTCCCACACTGTAAGGTTAAAATAAGTGGCAATTCAGTATTTTTATGTCAGTTGTATTGCTGTAAAACATATATTGTAAATACAAAAATAACACTGTGTAGGAGGGTATGGTATCTTAAAAGCAGGAATTCCTGGAAAGCTTTAATTTGTCTTGGGAATAATCTGCTTTTCATAGTAAACTTTTACAGCTCTTATAAGCCTTATTAAGGAAGGTTATAATTTACTGTGGGAGAGGTGGAATGAGGAAGGGGATTGGACACCTATGTTATTTTTATTTCCTGCAGTTATTTGAACAATTTATTCTTTTAGTGGTTTTTTTGATTATAAAAAATTCTTATTGTGCATTCCTTCAGTTGAAAGGGCACGTGTGACTTTAGGACATGCTGAGATTCTTTTAAGATCATTCAGGTGAAAAGTACTATTCAAAAACAGGATCTTAAAGAAGGATTTAGGTGTTGTATATTAAAGCTGTTTTGAAATCATTTTTTAGAAGATTTGAAAAAAAGAAATAAATTATTTTACAGTATTTTTACCTTTGCTAACATTTTTGGTCTGACTTCTTTGCTTTCTTTCCAGTAACACGCTGTAGTCATTATGTACACTTCCAAAGAATAGTAAAGGCCTTCCTCATAAATGCTATTGATGATACTTTTCTGAGCTCATTATATGGTAAGTATATTGCATAAGGTAATATAATAGTGCAGGTAAAGTTATATAGACACAGGCAGTTACTCTTGGAAAAGATGTGCCTCATGTTTAGAGTATGGGATTGTGAGCTCAAAGTCCTGCAGTCCGTTCTTAGTTTTTCCTGTGTAACCTTGGGAACATCTGTCTGAAATGGGAAGAGTAATCCTGAAAACATATATGGAGTTGATGTTTTTAGCCCAGAGGTTACTCTGAGACTTAAGGAAGTGTTTCTGTGTTACTGAGCCATAGAGACAGTTCCAGGGTGAAGGAACAGGTAATTTCAAAGTAAGTATCTCAGCCTTGCAGAGTTCAGCTGATTTCTCAGAATGTCACGTGCCTCATAGCTTTTTCTGCGTAATTTAATGGAAAGTCAATAATTATAGTTACAAAGATTACTAGGTATCTCAATTTGTTGCTTCTGAACACTTGTACTTCAAGATAAAGGAAATAAATTTTAGCTACAGTCAGGCCTCCTTGGCTTATTCTTGCTGAGGAGGTGTTTTTGGCATTTGACCTAGGGATGCTGAATGACAACTTCACACATATCTTCAAAAGCTCTGCAGAGATGGGATTAGTGAGGGGACTGTTAGTGTCATAATCAGCTGAATGCCAAAGAGAAGTTTTGGTGTTAGAAGGAGTAAGAGGTAATAGAGAAACTGAAGTACACAGTACAGACTTAAACAGTTCAGTAGTAACAGTTTGTTCTTGGAGTTTAAAATGTCTTTTACCTAACACTACTCTTTCTTTCAGGTAGGTGTTTATTTTTGTTTCTTTCTTTCTTTCTTTTGTTTTACTGAGTGAAAACAAGTTATAAAGAGTAATAAATAAATTTATAAAGTCTTCTGGCTAGATTTCTGTTATAATAGCTTTTTTTTCTATTTCAAATTGTATCTGCTATACAGATATAGTTACAAGTAGCTGTTTTTATATAGCAAGGCGGACCACACGCTGGTGATCCTTCTGGTTTTTGGTTCTTTGAAGACAGCAGTGCTAAAAGGCTAGGGAGGGCAACTGACTTAATATGCACATCTGCGCATGGACTGTCCAGAGCTTCAGCATATTGATAAGAATCAGCCTAAACCAGTGGAACCTACTTAACTCCTGGAGTCTAGCACATATTTGAGAGACAGTCATGGAGTAATGATAATTTAAGTCATCTTCATGCTCATCCCTTAAGTATTTATGGTGCCTAATTGTAGGCATCTAATAGTGCTGCTGAACGTCAAACTTAGTCTCTGTGTTTCCTACACGTGAAGAAAGAGAAAAGAGTTGTCAAAATTTCTTCTGGAAAGCAACTTGGAGCAGTTCATTTTCATTGACTGCAACATCTTACCTTGTAAATTATAAATACCCTTTAGAAACTGGGGAAAATCCAAGATCATTTTTTTTTTCTGTGTTTTTGAATGACGTTGAATGAATGGTAATGCATTTGGGACGTCAGCCTTTCAGTTTGACGTGATTGTAGAGTTTATTCATGTATACTTTTTGATACAGACTTTAAAATACATTAATTTATTAAAGATTCATGAATCATTTAAAGGAACCATTCAGTGACAAAATATTCAAGTCTTTCCTAGTTCCTCATATTTAGAATCATAATGTCCCTGAAAATGTTTTTGGAGAAACATGTGCAATTGAAGATGGCCAGCAAATCAGTAATGACTCTCACTGAACAGATGGAACAAGACAAAAGAAGTATGCCCAGGATATGTTAACCTCACTTCATTATCTGGATGATCGTTTCATTCAGCCTCGTCTTGAGAACTTAATATCTAGAAGTCGCTGGAAAGATCGGTATAAGGTAGGTAGCTTTTGCTTTAGTCACCCAACTGTATTCTACATTGTAGTGTTACTGATAGAGATTCCCATGCGCATCCCTGATTCTCAGTAAAGGTACAGTAATCATCATAATTATTCATCCTTTTTTTAAAAAAATAGACTCATTGCTCCTTATGTTATGTAACTTTTTCTTATAAATATCAGAAATATTTTTATCAGAACTATTCTATGTGATTATAATCACATAAACATTCATGTAACTGAGATTCTTTTCTCTATTACCTGACTGCTTCTCCTGCTAATTTCAAGAGAGGTATTTTCTGAGATATTTGTGACTTACCATTATAGCAAAACTGCTCTCCCCCAGCCCTGCCCCCAAAAGATGAATCAATATATTATGCACAGTATATTATAATGAACCTTTTACAACCTCAGAAAAAAATCTGAAGACAATATACAGTAATCTACTCATTGTATGTGAATTCATAAATAGTGTTTTAGCTGTGGTGATCTAAGGATCACTCTAGTAATGCAGTACCGCTGGGATAGAGATGTGTATTGATGTGAGATAGGCCAGCTGATAAAGTTGCCAAAAAGAGAAAGAAAGAAAAGAGAAAGAAATATGCGGGTGCAGGAACCGTTTTATAGTTCTGGAGAAGAACGAATAAATTACATGAAGTAGAACTGGCTGCAGTGTTGGAAAATGACAGAAAAACTATACATTTGCAACTGTATTCCGAAAGACTTTACATTGGATTCCCTCCGGTCTCTCTTGTACTAATTTCTTGGGAATGAAGCATACTTACCAGCTTGTTCATGCATTTGTCAGTCTTTAACTTCAGAGATTCTTTAATATTATTTGAAATTTATTTTTCAGGAGCGTGTAGATTGTTACCCAGATGCTCACATAATCATGAAAAATCCCCAGTATACGTCTTGTCAGGCCTGTGAGTTGAATCGGTACTGCAAGTTCGATGTGTTCCTCTCTGGAAAGCTTTATAATAGTAGAACTTTGGAAGCAGATGACTTCATGTCACATGACAAACAGGTAACTTTAGACAAGAGTCCTATGTAATTTTTAAACTTTGTCTAGAGTTATAGAAAATCATACAAAAAAGAAATCTTATCAACACATACATAAATATATAACGTTAGAACTACGGGTTAAGTTACTGTACTTCCTTGTCTGAATTCCTAATTAGTTTTGAAATTTGAGGACTATTTTGCAGTTTTGCAAAGTAGTCTTTGATTTGGCTAGGGAAGTAGGTTATGAAGGAAGTTCCTATGAAGCACAGAAGGAAAAATAGGGGCGTTTCCCTGCATTCCCTTTATCCTGTGGAGAAGATATTGGCAGAAGTATCCTATAATAAACATAACATTTACAGTGACCTTTCTTTTTGCCTTCATGACAATGACTGGGGTGCTGTTTCCTCCTCACTCTTGCCACTTAATGTTAGTACTGGTACAGCAAATGTACTTGCACTACAGGGAGTACAAGTTGCCGCAAGTACATCCAGCTGTGAGCTGAACCTAATGATAAAATAAAGGGTGTCAAAAATGCGATGGTGCTCATTGATAGCTATTGCCTTCAAATCAAAATTGACATTGCCTCCATTTTTCTTCTGGTTCAAATCTTCACTTGGAGTCTCATGTAAGGAAAGTCCCTGCATAAACAGCATCCTGCACACATACATGGCTCAGCGTGCTTGTCCTTTGGGGTGCATGAGGAGGCCGTCAGAAATACCTGTAGGCCAGGCCACCAGCACACATGAAGATCCACGTATTAAATTAAGTTCTAATGCAAGCACTCATGAGTTAATTCTAAAGTAGGATTTTTGTCAGAGAACATTAATAGGGGATGCGTGTTTTAGCATACAAAAGAAACTGAGTGATGCTCTAAACATGCCAGGCACTCTTGGTTTTCACCAAATGCATGAGAAATGCTGTGGCTTTTTTTTTTATCCTAAATAGATCCCATCTCCTTTTGCCAGGACTTTGATGCTTTAAATCAGGCATGATATTTGCTTTTTCTAAGTATCAGAAGGCCACTTCATTTAAATATCACTGCAAAGCCCTTCACCTTTGTGTATGCCTTAAGGCTTTCCCAGCAGGAGACTTGCATTGATCAGCTTTCAGAAGTGTTGCAGAATGCTTTTCATTGCTGCATTATCAGAAAAATTTGTCTAGTTTGGAAGACATTTCCATTTAGATAATCTTGCATCCTTCTCTCATTCAGTTGTCTTTACCAGGACATTGTGAATTATTTTTTTCTGAATGAAAAACATCTTTCGGGTTGTTAGTTAATGTTGCAGTAGGCAGTCATTTAAGTTAAATGACCAGTCAGTTTTGTTCTGTTTCATAACTAAGACTTCTGAAAGTCTTGAATTTTAAGACCTTGGGTGTTTTTAAGATTTAGGGATCTTTTTTTCAAATATAAAGCTATCAGTAGTTGTAATGATTATGTGTGCATATGGCCTTCCTAGTTAATGTAATTCATGACCTGTCATGATAAACTCAAAATACACACAACTTGTCTGGGATAAAATATTGCCACAATTGTATTCCAAGTTGTTATCCAAGTTATTAGTTCCTTCCCTTTTAAGTAGGTGAAATGCTGTGCTTTGTGAGTAACAATTTTGTGAGTGCAACTGAAGTTCTTCATAGGGTTTCCTGGGGAGGGAGATAGGCAGGGGGAAATGAAGTGTCAGCACAAGATGTATTTCCAACGTGTTTTGGAATGGAATATAATAGTACTTCTTAAGTAACAGTAAGGTGGAACTCGCCTTAACTGAAGCTCAGGCTTGTTTGCATCCTTGTAAATATTCCAGCTAAGAGATCTGAGGGACATCAGTGTGATTATCGTTATGAAATTATATGAGCCTCTGTGTAATCCTCATTTAGAAAAATATATGCCATCTATTTTCCTGAAGAAATCACAAAAACTTCTGAGCACTATTTGCTCAATCTGTTCTGATGACTCTGCATGTGCGTGGAAATTAATAGAGCTAGGATATCCTAGTAAGGCATTTCCCCGTATCTTTTGCAGGAAATCAGTAAATCTTTAGGACGGGGAGGGCATAGTGGCCTTGAAATTTTGCTAGTACTGACGTTGCAGTACATTGTATACATTGTATACATGTGTACAGTCATGATTCTTCCTTGCATGAGGGTCTCTAATGTAGTTCATTAATTTATAAATTAGATTTTCATGGGGAAGATGTGCCCCACTTAAGCATAAATAGTAAGTGAAATATCATAAAATTTTAATCTTCACCCAATTTCCAGTCTAATCCCAGATAGAACAGCAACAATCCACTCCCTGATTTCCAAGTTTTGTCCCGCATAAAGCATTGGCTCTTTTGTACTTTGAAAAAGTCTTGAAATGTCCTGTTGAATTTCGAGGTAACTTGCTAATTCATTTTTATTCTCTCTGAGAAAATGAGCTTTACCCCACCATCTAGGGGGATGGTGTGCCAGCTAGGTGCATACTTAGCACTGAGGCTGTAGAATAGGCCCAGAGGAGGGAGCAACTCTGCACTAATACTTAGTACAGGTTTTCTTATGTGACGTTCATACTCCTGTAATGACCTGTAATTTAGCCAGCTAAATCTACTGTTCTCAAGTAATATTTGAAGTTCTGCTGGCAATGCATTGCTCAGCTTGCCCTTCCAATTGAGAAAAGGGAATAAAAAACAAAGAGGGTAAGTGGAGCTACATGAAACTGGCACTTTCAGAAAATAATTAACTGAAAAGGAAAACAGTTCAGCATTGACGGGTCAAACTGAATGGAAATACATGGCTGGACTCTTGCTATTTTGTTTGAAAACACTCAAGAGAAGTAGATGGGGAGAGAGCAAAAACAGACCTCCACTCCTTTTCTTCTGCCTAAAGTTTTCCTTTTCTCTCATCTCTGAAGTGCTCTGCGTTGCCAGTAGGCCTGAAGAGAAGCAGCTGTTCCAGTTTTGCTTCGGTTTCCAATGGCCATTGTGAGCACAGCTGCTGATTCCAATCCCTCCATGCTCCGAGAGAACTGAGCAGTTCAGTTATAGGTGCCCGTGAACTGTTCTGTGCCTGTGTCACCTGTACTGTGGCCAGTGCTTTCTGTTCTTCGTTTTCTATGGCCCTTTATATCTCTCCTTAAAGGACATGAATTCAGTCGCTGCATTCTGTACTACTGTCAGGCTTTGCTCCTGCATTCCATATGAAGTGATTTAACACAACTTTGGCTGGTGCAGCCAGCTTGAGTAGATAAGTTAAGCATTAGGATACAGTCACTGAGAAATGCAAAGGGAAAAAATTAGAATGAGTACAGTACTGAGATTCTTTCCAAAGCTGCATTCTGAAATAGTGTTGTATTTTTAGACAATCTTTCTTGCTCTAAAAGCACAATGCATAATAAGATTATACAGTACTTGACTATTTTTCCTCTGGCACGTTTCCAATCTGGAAACTCTTTACACCTACTCCATAAATAAATGATGAAACTCATTGCCACAGAATACTTTGGAAGCCAGAAGTACAAGTGGGTCCCAAAACAGCTTAGACAGGTTCTTGGAGAAGCTTCTTCCTTGCTGTGGAACATGATAGCCAGAATGATACAGAATGTCTAACCACTGAGTGCAAGTAGTATCCTGATCCCTCTGTGTTTGCCCTGCCTCTTATACTTATTTCCCAAGTATCTCCTGGTGGCTATTTTCAAAGAGAACTGAGCCAGGCAGCCTTTGAGTCTGATGTAGAATGGTAGCTCCTATTTTAGGTCAAATAATGTTCCAAATATCACACCTCATTGCTTGGGATAGTTAAGTTCTCAAATGCTCTATGAAACATCACAGATCAGTTGTTGATTCTTTGATTATTTGGAATGGTACTTCTGGAAATATGAATAAATCAAGGTTATGCATTGGTTGATAGGTCTTGCACCTCCCAAGTACCTGTAGCGGCAATCATTAGCCTTAGCTTTTCAGTTTAGGTGCAAGTGTAAAACAGGACTGCATTTAAACATACATGTATATAATCATTAGAGTTTTGCAATAGTAGCAACTTCTCATCTTAAGCCAGTTTAATAGCTATTTTTGTTTAAGTGAGTGTTTCTATTGACTTCAGTGATGCTACACCTGTTTGTATCAGCTAGCTACTGCTTAATAGCAGTATTTATAGTATATAAATAGCATATTTAAGAATTGGTCAGGGTTCCATAAACTTGTCATTGCTAAGAAAATAGATACTGCTAGTGCACAAGTAGGCCACGTGTTTGGGGTGACTGCTTACTGATGGAAACATTTGGTCATGCATAACAAGCTTGCAGAAAATTAAAATACATTGATTACAATGTAACCTGCTCATAGCTTAAAAGATTTCTTACCTGCTAGGCTTTATTGTATTGTATCGATGGGTTAATGTAGTAACCAGTGCACCTCTGGGCCATTTACAGGGGACGCATTCCTCTGCTCATTTGCCACTGTATGTACTTAAACTTCCTTTCTTGTGGAAATGGCACAAAATTTATTTATCTGAAATGCAAGGTGGCCTTTAAGTACTGATGAACTTTGACTCCATTTCCCTCCCCATATCCCCAGTTTCACATATTCTTAGAGAAGACTTAAGATTGCAGAAGATTCTTGTAACCAATATATTACTAAATATTTTAAGGTAAAGACTTATCATTGCATTATATCTTTCTATAAAATATGAGTTTAATATATGTCCAAACACTTGCCTGCATTTAAGGTATTCTGGATTAAGTACCTACTCTAATCCATGCTCTGATTGTGTATTTACATGTTCTTTTACCATTTCTTTATCTAGAAACACTGTTATGAAGCAAACTGTTAAATAGAACAGTTCCATCTTCTGCATAAAGGTTGTGGAATTAAAACTGATTAAAGACTGGGAGGTGCAGAAGCTTTGGTTTCTGCAGCGTTTTTGACTAACTGTACATCATAGGCTGTTACAGACTAACACTTGAATAAACTTGTGTTTTCATCTTTTATTTTTATTAAAGCAAGACTGTATATTATTTAGTCTACCAAATGCTTGAGTTGGTGCTTTATATCCCTGGTTTTACCTGTAAAAGTATTACACGTAAAACCAAAATTATCAAATAATTCCTCTTCCTCTGCCTTAAAGGTATGCTAGTTTTATAAAATGCTTGTTGTTGCTGCTGTTGTTACAAAACTGCACCAGGAGACTGCAAAGATGAAAGACTACCAGTTATAAACACAATCGTGTAGAGGTTCTGCAAGAAAACGGTGCTGATAAGCTGCCATTGCATTAACTTGCCAGCTGTCTGCTTTTTCAAAAATAGTTCTGCATGACGGTGAAAACATGCTCTTACTCTGCTTTGTATGCACATTGCGTCATTCTGTTTATTTCATTGTTCAAAAAATATCTTACTAGAGGGACTTTAGCCATTCTTGAGATTGCCAAGTTAACCACTGTTCTAAGAAAACGATTTGTTCACTTTGGTCTAGGTTTTGAGGGTTGGCACAGTCTGTGCGGATCGCACAAGAGTTTATCATAATCTGAAGCACTTCAAGTACAAGTTGTATGTGGATTGCAGCTCTGTTGCCGAGCTCGATGGTGTTGAGGATGAGCCAGTCAAAGACACAGTGGAGCGACTTTTCAGCCACCTGGAAGGCAGCGGGTGGATTCGGAAGGTATGACCGAGTGTTTGATGTTACTGATTTGTTATTTGATCCTTTTGCAGCAGGTAGGTAATAGGAAAAAAAAAATCTGAGATAAAATTTCTGTTTTTTTTTTTTAATCAATCGGTTTTGAATTGTTAGGTTTTAGTAATTCAGTTAAGCCATCCAGCTCTGCAGGCCTACTCTCTCAAACAGCAGCATGCCCCTATTTTCCCATAAAGTTTGTTGACTTATTAATGCAGCTGCGCAGTCTCTGGCTGTGGCAGGCAGGCTGCTGTCCCATTTGAAAGCAGCAACACGACAGACACAAATTGTAACTCACAACGATCAGAAAAATTTAACATGAGGCACAGCAAGAATGTTTTGCTCTGCTGTTTACATTTGAGTGTTTTCACTTACTCAAAAACACTTCATGAACTACTTGAAGACAACATGGAATACAGTTGCACGTAGCAAACGTGCATGTATCTCTGCTTCCGAACTGTTGTTGGCATTGCTGTTTATGTTTCAAAGAAAAACCAATTCCATTATTAAGCCTACATAAACTAATTTGGGATTTATTTTATTTGCAGAGATATGATGATCTTGAAAACTACATGAGTGATGCAGATGATTTCCAAGAAGAGAAAATGGATTGAGTAGTCAGGCAGCCCTTTGGAAGAGGTTTTGTAAAAATTTGAAAGGGCCATTTTATCTTCATGCACAGTGTCCATGCTTGATCTTCAAGATTCCTTTTAGGCTGTATTGTGCATAAATCTGAATGTCTGTAAATTACCTTTTAAGAATATGCTGTATCTCTTTTTTTTTCTTTCAAATTTGCCAATAATAACTTGAAATTTTACTGAATCCCTTCTTCTTGTATTAATGCACATCACTAATTTTCCTCTTTTTGCTAAAAATAGCATCCAAATATCTTTATCTGTGAAATAAAACTTCTGGCTATTTATGTGGAGCTGCATTGCAGAGAAAGGAGATGCTGAGACCTCTTGAATTAGGAGTTTATAGTACCATAAAAGGTATATTATACAAGAACATGCGACTTGCATCTCATTTTCTCTGTGCATGCTATAAATTTGCAATCAAGTCCGAGCATTTAGAATGATGGTTATGACCCAGAGGACCCAAGTGTAAACCCTGGTTTCCCGTTTAGGAATCAATATGGACTGTTGCAAGGCAACAGAGGAAATACCCTGCAGTCCTGAGCGCATTTGTGGCACAAATAGTCTCCTCTTTTCTAGAGAGCAGGTGATGAGTCACATGCTGAGCATCGTGCAGACCGAGTGTGGCTTAGCCATCCCCATGAACACTTGAGCCTAATGGGATGTCCCTAGTAAGCAGCTGGGGCACCTTACTAAGATTTAAACATCAAACATTCTGGCAGTAACTTGCAATAAAGGAAGAATTAAGAGAATGGATTAATGTAGTCATGCAAGATAAGCAGGAAATCTTCCAGTGTATCTTGACAACAGGAAGTAGGAGTTACTCAGGATCGTGATGCCTGGCCTACCTGAGTTGAATGATTTCAGAATCAGTTCTGGATATCATGGAAGTAGCTTTTTGAAGAGTTACAAAGAGTTAAGTGATTCGTTTGTTTGTTATGTGCTGTACATAAAGGTAATTAGAACCTAGATGAAGATTCAGGGTAAAAGGGTTTTGAATACAGTCCAGGGCTCTTCTTACCTCCTGCTGTATGCACATACACATATTACACTTTTGTGGCTGAGCAACTTGCTAAAAGGGAAAATACTGTTAGCACTGTAGATTTTTAGAAATTGCTCTTTAAGAAGGAAAGCTAATGGAGTCTATTTGCTTACTGATTTGTCGAAAAGAACATTGTTTGCTGATGGGCTAGGCAGCTACTGCCAGATGTATTGTGTAAAGGTAAAATTCTGGTGATTTTTTTTCTCAGATCTGTAATTTAGATTTGCCATTCACTATCACTGTGTCAACTTTCACTGTGAGAAATGAAATACTTCTATATTTTTAAGAGGTTGAAATTCAATAGTGGATTTTTAAGATACTAGGGTGCGATAACATTGTCTGTCCTCCTTTTTATTAAATGCAGATTTTTTTTTATTACATACATAAGGTTTTCAAGCAAGGATGAAAAATCACAGCAAACAGATTGAGTCCCGCTCTCATGTAAAATTACATTAAAGACATTATTTCCATACCTTTATGGTTAGATATGTAAATATCTTAGAACTTTATGTATACCTATCTCCCTGGTTACCAACGCTGTAAGTAACTCTGTTTTTTTCTTTCACCGTCTGCTTCAGGAATGTTGGTGGAAGCACATCCATCAACTGAAATGTACTTGGGAATCCGTCTCGAGCACATCATCCCTAGGACAGCCGGAGGCCATTCAGGGCCCCCTTCAGTCTCCATATCTCCATAATATACTACATCCTTGATGGCTTCCCTGGAGTAACTTTATTCTTGCAAACTAAAACCGTTTTGAAGTGATTGGGTAGCACATACTGGAGTACTCTCTCAGGCATTCCCATCTAGTCTTCACTTCTGTTACCTTACGTAGTTTCTGAAAATTCTAGTGGAATGTATGATGCCTACTTTCCAATTTTGCTGTTGCAATGAGTAGTCAATTTCTTACCTCACAGTGTATGAACTGATTACCACCAAATAAAAAAATAAAAATAAAAGGAAAGATTTGGATTGCTGAGTAGTAATAAGAGTGAGAATGCATACATTTTGCTTGAAAGTTAAAACCAGCAAATTATTCTCATGACTAATTGCACTCATTCCTAGATATATACCACAGCCCATACCATGTTTCTCATCTCTTAACCTCCTCTTTGTTCAACTAAACAGTCTAAGCTACTTCCTTATTTCATATTCCTGCATGCACTTTTTTTTTAGATGTCACTTTTTTTTTTTCCCTCAGCAGATTCACTAATTTTGTCTATGGCATCACTGCTTGAACTAAGAAGGTGCCCAGAATTGACATTCACTGATTTCTATTTCAGTAGGAAACTGATATTTGATCTGGCCTGGCAGAGCCGTGACACAATATTTGTCTGTATAAAGGTTCACCTATTTTGGTGTCCTTCTCACTGAGATTAAAGGAAGTGGTAATATTTTTGTGGCTGTTGCTTTACCTGAAGAGTTTGCACAAGACAGAATGTGCAGGATCGTTGCATCATTTTACGTTTGTGCCTGTAAACAATTTTTACATTTCCTGTTGCAAAGAGCCACATAAGAAAAGGTTTGATTTTCAAGGACTGGAAATATTAATCCTTTAGTGCAAAGAGGACTCCTACCTAATCAGGCTTTGGGGTCCAACAGCAGTAAAAATATTTTCAATTTCCATTCTGTGGAAATATCTAGTGGTGAGAGAAGTCACAAACCTGATCAGTCTTTTGCACTTCCTTTTCTAAATGAGAGACTTAAGAGCTGGAGTGAGGTGATCTTGTGTTTGGTCTGATAGGATACTTCAAACTGTCCTTAGTGTTGATTTTTCAATTAGTGACTCTAATTAAGATAAAGTACCTGTCTTACTGGGACAATGAAGAGAGATCAGTATTTGGTTAGAATTGGAGCCGATGATAAATGGCCATATTCGGAAATTACTGTAGTTCTTGTAATGTTTAAGTAGTCTGCTCTAGTTTAAGTGCTCTAACCTGACACTATGATAATAATAAAATTCACCTAAAAAGGTGTGTGTGTGCAAGATCAGTCCTCCTGAGGTGAGGTTCTCCTGGGAGGAAAGGCCTTTTTCAGCTTACAGTCCGTGTCCAGTCCATTACAAGAAGGGACTTTTCTCTCCTTGCTCTCCATTTTTTCTTTCCTTGTCCTTCATCACTGGATCAAGAAGCCACATGGCAATCTTGGCTAGTAGTAGCTTGCTGATAGCATCGTTTTTTAGAAAGTGAAGGCTTCTCCTGTTTCCCAAAAGCAGCTATTTCTAGTACTTCACCAGGCAGTTACAGGCAATTCTCATGCTTTGCTCTGCTAATTGGCAACTTGAATAAAGGCCTGTAGTTTTACCCTTTTTTAAGACTTTCTGAATAAACAGAGTGAGTGTGAAGCTAAACACATGTAAATGCAGTATCACTCCAAGAGAAATACCCAGCACAAAACAAATGCTGATTCCATTTTGAGAAATACCTATTTCTAGTCTCTGTTTAGAGGTGAGATAGAAGAATGTAACGATCTGCCCATCAGGAAAAATATGAGAAATATGTGAAGTAGTATTTAAAAAAGCTGTTAATACCTCCCTCATTGGATACACTTCCTTGAATAGTTTATGTGAATTTTTGTATTCTGGCAATGAATGCAAAATGAGTATTTGTATTCAGGCAATGAATGATACAAATGTGTGCATATATATTCATAAGGTATTTATATAATATATATCATGATTATATATATTTATATGTGCTGTTGTTTGTAAAGTAGGATGGAGACAGGTTTTTTAGACCTCTGCAGAGTTCATATTCTTAATTAAAAAACTGCTCTATGTCCAAGATTGTTTATGTTACAGTTTACACACAGCAGAAATGCACGCCCCTTATGTCCAAAAGTCGAAACAAAAAGTCTGGCTCAGGGTAGACAGACTCTTTACTCCAAAGTTAATCAGTTTACCAGGCAAACTGCGTGCTGTGCTCTAACGGCATGCTTTGCTGGGAACACCACAGGAAATACATATTTTTATCTCTCTGAAATACATGTATTCATATCTCTAGCATTCAGGAGTTTTCTCGACAAAACGTTAAAAACTGATGGATGGATTTACTGTATTTCCACCTTGGAAACATGGGGGGCAGTGTTTGCTGTATATTGTGCGGCCAGGGACTTGCAGTGGAGCTCCCCGAACAGCTGTTTGTAGCCCTGAAACTCGTATATTAAACCACAAAACACGAGATGCTGTTTGGCAAAAGTGAATATTAAAAGTCTAAAGTTGAAATTTTTGTTGTTGTTGATGATGTTTTGAAGGATCATTCTCCATGTTGTAGAAAAGCTCGTGAGGGAGAATTTGCACAGCTGCCCCAGTATCTTCAGGAGCAGCACTGCTGCTTTCATACTCCCGCAGCAAGTTTGAAACTCCCAGCCAAAATTTTACCTGCAATGCTCTTTATTATCGAGGAGATTCGTGTTATAGCCTCATGTACGTTCTGTGCCCGACCCTCTTAGCTGCAGTAGGGGACCTGAGCTACAAAGCATGAATAAAAGCCCTAGAGAGGTCTGAAGCAAAGGTAACATGTCTATTATTTTACAAACATTAAAAAACACATTTTTTCCAGCCGTGCCAGCCCATTGTTCCCAGCAGATGCACACTGCTGTTATGTACTAAATAATAACCCACTCTTTGCTTGTGCAAAGTTAAACAAAAAATCCCCTTTTCCTGTTGCAGCACCGGCTGCCCCTGCGCACAGCGCATCCACGAGCCTGGCTCCAGCAGCCCTCGTCCCTCGCGTGGGCGTGGGTGTCTTTGCGGGACCGGCTGCGCTGCTCTGCTCACAGCCGCGGTTCCTGGAAGCCCCCGCGCGGCTCTTGCACAATCCCCCTCTTCGTCATGTTGCAAGAGAGGAGGGAGGACATTTCCCCTGTGTCCAGCACCGCGTATCCTGCATGGGTTTTAGCGGAACTTGAAAGAACGTCTCGTTTCTTTACTAGCCTGCGAAAGACTTGTGTGTGCATAACTTTGGAAGAGGGTGAAAGTAAAGGGTTTCATTAGTTCCTACTCGATCACTATGGCACACGCAGAGGATTCTGGCTGCTCCCACAGCAGAACTGAAAGGATGAGGTTTTGCATGCACCTTGTCCCGGGCTGCAAGACC